ACTACTGTTCAATAACATTTTATTATTTTGTGTTAAGGAAAACTTGCACTGAGGAAAGGTCTCTCTTTTCACATGTTTGTCAACACTGCTCCATGCGGGGATGCTCGTGTTTATACACTCAATGACGCCACTTTTACTAGAGCTAAAGAACCAGAAACCAACAGTCTTCTGCGATACAAGGTTGAAAATGGTCAGCTTATCTTTGAACATCACATATGCTTTGAAAGTTTTTCATTGTTCCATCTGAAGTGATCATTATTATCTTTCAGGAATGGGTACCGTTTTGGGCCGATATCCTGAGACACTTGTCCCGCAAACAATTGACGGAGTTACAGGAGGAGAGCGTTTGCGCACGATGTCGTGCAGTGACAAAATGATGCGTTGGAATGTTTTGGGTGTACAGGGAGGATTACTCTCCTTGTTTATTGAGCCAGTAATTGCTGTTCTATTCTTATCGTAGATTTGACTACGGTTTTTTCCCTTTTTTTAAACTTACATTTGGATGGTTCTTCTAGATTTATCTGTCATCCATGGCAGTTGCTGACAAATCTGATACAAAACGTATAGAAAGAGCCCTTTTCGAACGAATTGACGGCTTCCAACCACCACTTCCTTTCCATTTGAACAAACCTTTGATCGCTAAATGTCAAGTAAGATCTTCTTCTTAAGCGGTGACTTCTATTTCTTGTCAATTTTCCTTGAAAAAACTTTCCTCGACTTCATGCGAGATTTGAGGATGAGCCAATCACTCGCGAAGCCACTACAGGTTCTCCTATCTCAGTGAACTGGAATATCGCTGATGATTCAATAGAGGTATACGAATCATGAAGTTTTTCCGTTCATAGCCAGCTCGGTACCCTCATTTAATGATCAGTTCGACTATAGTCTTTTGTTTCAAGTAAAATGCAGTTTCCTTTTTCCTTCCTAACTCTTACCTCCACGAACACATGAACTGCAGATTTTACGAACCAGCTTTGGTCGAATTGATGTGCCTAATGCAAAAGAGATTTCTCGGCTGTCAAAAAAGGATATGTCTATGCTTTTCAAAAAGGTGAGTGTATATATAT